CTATGACATGGCGGACTGCCAAGTCAAACTGGATATTTCCAGTTCAAACTAGCTCCAAGAAGCCAAACAAGCAGTTCTTGGTTTTGCTATATTCAGATGCAGACGTTTTAACTCGTACACCACCAGCTCCGATGGTCAAAAAACCTGCTCAAAATGATTCCATGTTACCACTATTTTCCGCAATGAGGTAGAATCCCCTTTTTGCTCACATAAGCTTCAGACTAGCAATCAAACATAATTACATTCGCTTTCATTTCACCGTAAAATGCAGTTCTCAACAGGAACAGAGAGCTATTGTTCTCTGAATATCAGCGCCTCCCCTTTGTCGGAGAGTCGGCTCAATATTTTATCATTCAGAAATATTTTCTCACTTTAAATTTGGATATCAGCAATCCAACAAATATAAAACATGCAATAAATTACTTCGAAACAGAATGCTAAATTTTGTGTCATCTCCAGGACTCTTATTCACGCTTAGTGTCTAACTGAATCTCAATGCACTTTACCGTATTTAAAATTAGATGCGTTTTTCTTCATGCTGCCAACATTTAATGGCATATTACCAATCTGAATAGCCAAATTAGACTAAACATTTCATCAAAAGAGACAAAAGTTCTTCAGTCATTTGGTCACATTTGCCACAGTTATGGGGTCAAATTCCAGAGTGATTTGACACTTCAATCTACCAGTGAGTAGGCGTTAGGCCAACCTGCAGTCAGAGAATCAAATGAGGTCAGGCAGATCTGAGTCATCATCATGTTACCATTGTAGTTTATCCCGAATTCAGTTAAATGCTTCCTATAGGCAGAACATTATAATATTCATGAAATGCCAAGCTTTTTTTAAAAAAACTTTGTCTTTAAAGGGTTAACTGCCACTTCATGTGCTCCACGAGCATAGAAACTGAAAGACTTGCATTTTTATATGGCCTTGTACATCAAAAGGTTCAAAGTGCTTTAGAGTGATCCTCATTAAATATAGTGACCACATTTGATAGGCAGTTTACTTTCAGAGGATAGGATTGCAGAGATTAGGCTTAACTAGAAACAATTTGCACTCTTTCTCCCTGCCTTCAAAACCCTCTTGAAAACTTCTGTACGACTGTGCCATTGGTCAACACCCTCAAACTCCCCCTTCTTCTAACCCTGTGCAGTGATCCACATTGCCCTTCTAAAGTCCTTCGAGACATGTGAACATGTATACAAGTGAAAGCTGTTGGGACAGAAACATATCTGAACTTGAATGGGAATGGTCAGAGAACATTCAGGAATGTTTACATCCATTTCCCATTATCATCATCGATGTTTTTCAAAAATCTGTACAATCAATGCACTTCACCTCTACATTGCCTACTGTTTCACTGACAATACTTGCTTGGCACGTCTAAAATTCTGCCACATTCCATCGGTCATTGCAAGTGACATTACAGTATTCACAAACAACTCAAGATGCTGATCCAGTGGAAAAAGTCAGAACACATTATATTAACAGGAGCAAATTCACTCCACAGAAATGCATCCCACTTGCATCCTATTTTCAATGTCATAATGTCTGTCATCTCAGCAAAAATCTCTGTCTGGGCCTGTGAGCATGTCCCATTTCTGTGCAAAGCTTTTCATTTAACATGACTGTGTTAAGATTCAATGCTTTATGATTGGCCTCAATTCCTATTCCCTGACCCTCAGCTGCTTGGCTCTAAAAACAGTGCAGTTTTGGCATAGAGTACAATCAGGACAAAAGCTGGTGGTAGTTCAAATTCTATCAAAAAGGATAGGTCACATATTATTTGCCTACAAATACACTACACTTTACACTACCTGCGAAACACTCTAAAATATTTTTAAAATTATAGATGGTATAACAAATGCAAATATTCCTTATTATTATATAAAGTAACTTTTTGAAAGCATTTCATCTCATATTAAGGTCAATCCCAAAAGCTTACAACTTGAAAGGATATTTGCTACAATTATATTAAGGCAAATTTTGAATCCGCTATTCAAACGTATACACCCATTCAAATTTTGCATAAGCTGCACATTCTAACAAAAGATCCAGCATCAGTAAAATATTTAAAAATAAAAGTAAAATTTTATTTGCTTTAATTTGAATTAATAAATTTAATTTATTAGATTCCTGAATAAAATTACAAAGCATGGATTTGGGCTTTTAAATGGTGACGGAAGACCTTATTACATGCTAGGGTGAACGTTTGCTCCATGGACTTGTTTACCAGCCGACATATTCACCCTTGCCACCTGCCCAAATAAATTAGTCATGTGTGTAAAAAACACAGACAAGAGACCAGGTTCACACACACAGCTCAGGAGCCTCAATCTCAATGCTGAATAATCTTCAGACATGCCCATCTTTGAAAATTGATTTTGGTGATCCTTTCCATTGAGCATAACTTGAGCTTTCTTAGCTAAGATTATGTATAAATTCTCTGGAAGAAGGTCCCTAATAAGGCAAAGTAATTTACAATTTTTTTTCATTTAAAGCTGTGAGATGCAGAATAGTGAGCTCAAGTGTTCTGAGACCTATAGAAACAGGAATTTCCAGCATAGAATAAGGTCAATCAACCAATTGTGCCTGTGCTGGCTCTTTAAATGAACAATCCATACAATCTCATTTATCTGCTGTTCCCCCCTTACCCCTGCAAATTACTCCTTTTTAGGTACGTAGATCAATGGGATCTAAGTATCCTTTTATCTACGATAGTATTTGTTTAGTTCCCTCTTGAAAGCTAATATGGATTCTGCCTTGACCACATTAAAAAAATTCCACCAGTACACTCCACACCAACTAATGGTCACAATTTGTTCAAGAGAGAAAATTTGTTCACCTTTCAAGGAGCCTAATTGTATATTATTCGACTTTTGGAACGCCACGATTTTATTGCACCTCCATGCTTTCTTTCCCCATAAATCAACCATTGAAACATGGTTCAGATTCTTGTAAGCTAAATTGTAGTTTCACTATACTTATTAAAACATTTGGACGATATCTGGCAAAATAGAGAGGATAGCGGCACTAAATTATTTTCGTGGAGAAAGCAAGGTCTGGTTTTTGAATACAACAAAATTCAGTCATTTTACTGATGAACATCAGGTTTTTTGTGTAACAAGGGAGTTAGGAATCATCTGGAAGAACAGGAGGCAAGTGAATACAGCTGAACCTAAAATTAACCTAATAAAATACACCAATTAAAATTATAAACTCACAGCTGTTTGGTGATAAAACATGCAAAATGTTATAAGGGCTCATTCAGGAATTTGATTTCAGCACTTTGGGACATCCTTACCGACGTGAAAGGTGCTATATAAATGCTATTTGTTGTTGCTGATTGCTAGAATAGAACTTCAATAGCATATGTAACTTTATCCATTGGACATGGTCGATACAGAGCTGAATGAGCAAAGTTGTAAAATGGCCCATCATATTGTAATTTGCACTGGTACTGGGCAGCACTGCACAACAGAGAATTGTTGAGAACGTTAAAATTCTTTCTAACAAGCTTATTTAGTCTGGTAACTATGACACAGCACTTCCAAATGCCACCGAAAGGCCTGCAACAGCTGTCATGCTACTCAGTCTTACTAACAAAATCCTGGACCACAGCTTATTCTGGGGAAATCTGAAGGTCAGTCAGAAACATGCACTTAAAAACAATATTTTAATTGTACAATAGAAATAATAATAATCCCTGTATTTGATATAGCGCTTTTCACATCTTCTAGACTTCTCAAAGTGGTTCACAGAATATACTGTGAAGTAAATTGACTGCATATTTCGTGTGCGAAGCGCAGTAGTCAGTTGCACACAGCAGTATCCCCCAAACAGTCGTGGATTGAAGTGACCAAATGAATTATGTCCCAAGGGGTTACAGACTTACTTTCATCTTTTCTTACATCCAAAAATGGTAATATATCTATGCATTTAAAAAAAGATGCAGACTTGTATCAATTCCAAAACAGATTTAGCTTAATCAGAATATAGATGATCTTGTAAACACATTTCCTACCAGCATTTTAAAAGGTTATGAGCATTGGGAATCATCTGGATAATATAGATACAAAGACAATAAAGACAAAGGAGGTCTGAAATTATACCACTTCCTCAAAACAAAAATTACATGTAGTTTCCCCAGAAGAACTAATCTGCATAGGAGGCTACTTAAGATTCACCATGACCCTCAGTGTAAAACGTTGCTCACATACAGAAAGAGGCTCAAATTTCCACTTCTCAAAAGGTTATGCTCCTCACACCATCCATTGTAAAGCTATTTACATTTCTGCAGTGAAGAGTCAGACCAAACCCACTCCAATCCCCCTCCCCCACTGTCTGATACAAGTACCTAATTTAGTACCCATCCCACTGATCAATGCTCTCTTCTCCCAATGCGGATTGGCAGCAATACAAAAGCAAAGGAGCAAGAGTCAACAGTGTGAGAACAGAAAAACAATGAGTTGTTTTCTTCCTTCAGAGATGGATAGATTCATCCCTTGTCAATAGAGCACATTATTTTTAAACCTGTATTCTGCAAAACCGGTTTTAGGGAATGCAAACATCAATGTTCTAAAACACAAAAGAACTATGTGGACACATCAAATGCATTAATCACAGGGCAGGGTTTACAAAAATCAGATCAGTTGCATTGAGGCCCCATATTCAAACATTCGCTCATGTATTAGACAGGGAAAGTACAAATATTGTTAAATAAAAGAACAGCTGTTCTACAATTTTTATTTTGAATGGAGAAAACAATTTTAAAGAAACTTACAGGAAGATGATTAAAGCAAGAATGTGTCAGTGTGTGCTACCTGCAAAAAATGACCTTCATAACGTTCAGAATTGAGGTGTGGAGCTACCCACTGCTGTGCATTTCAGCTGTTCCAATCACCGGGGGATACAATGGTCATCAAAGGATCTCCTTTGTTGAGATGTCAAATGAGAAGTAGCTGGTGGGAACCAATGGTGATATTTTCTTCTCCACCTACCTGTCACTGCTGGTACTACTGCTGCTGCTCACTGAATCACTGCTTGATGACCTACTCCGAGACCCACTACCACTGGGAGACCGACGTGACCTTGATGCTTGGCTTGATCGCTGTGGGGACTGGTTTCCTGACCGTGAAGAATGTGGGGATCGACTCCTACTGTGCTGATAATTTTTTTCCTGTCGCCTTCCTCGTACTTCCCGTGTAATATTTTCCCTGTAGAGGTCCCGGTGCACTACACTCGATATTGCAAACTGTTCCCTCCCTCTTTGTTCATATCGTGGATCATGAGCTTCAAATCGACTTGGGCTTCGACTTCTTGACCCATAGTAAACTCTGTGTTGTATAGTTCGATCCCGAGGGTCTCTAAAATAATCCTGTTCATAATGTCTGGGACGATCAAACCCTGCCGCTGTACGATCGTGGTGTCCATAGGCACTGTGATCATAAGTACGCTCCCTGTTATCAGAAGCCCTGTGGGGGATTTTTGGGGGTGGGGAAGAGGGAAAGGAAAAAAAAGAATCTGTCAAGCATCAGCAACATAGTAAAAAGTTTCCCACCTGCCCCTTCTAAGGTCTGAGACAATAAGCACTTAAATCTTAACTATAGAGTAGACAGAATAAAGAAATTAGCAATAGCAGCTGTGTTCAGTAGATCTACAATGGTTGCCATCGGATTTCTCATTGATTTGATTTTTTTTTAAATTTCTAGGTGCGGGTCAGAAGGAATGCTTACTCTATACTCCAGATGCTGATGTGTGAATATCTGCCAAACTCCATTAAAGCTTTCTCATCTTTTTACAGCAGGAACTATGTCACATTAGCCCCTCTCTCTATCCCCAATTTTACTCAATCTAAATTGTACAATTGTTTTTTTAAAACTTCTCAGAAACTTCTTACATTATATTGTACACAAAATTAAAGAACTAACAAGGGCATTAAGGATGTGAAACCATCATATTTCAAAACAGTAAAGGTAAGCCATTTGCATCAAGCATTTGCCAGGAAACTCATAATTGGAAGAAAGCAGAAATGAATAAAGCTGAGTTTATTGCTGGTTATCCATAGAAGATAACCCAATATATTATTATGTATGAAGAAATATCCCTATTGGCTAACCTTGTGCATCAATGTCTCCATTCTGAAAGGCATAATTAGAAGGCAAGTGTAGAAAGAGACCTCTGTGTCCATACTTCGAAGTGAGGTCTTCTAGCCATGTACCTGGCAGAACCTTAAGGGAGTTGTATCAGACATTAAGTAGGTGAAGTTGATGGTAATTTTGGAGGTTTCTGAAGGCTTATCTGTCCAATATTGATCATGCAGATAGAAGATTAAATAAAAGCTGGCCTGGATCATCGCCGAAAAAAATCATGGCCATACTTCAACTCCATATATCCAAGACAAGAACAGTGAAATCCACAAAACTACCAGCATTTGGTTTTCTTTTTTTAAAAAAATCCACTGCTTTCTTCCAATGTTCTCCTTTGCGACTAAAATGGTTGCTGTTCCACTTTACTTTACCTATATCTTGATACAGATATCCATTGATGCATTATTCATTGCAATTCACTATATTCCTAACTCTCAACCATTACTGCTCGACAAAAGATTAAAGTTCAAATACTGTATTTAGCTCAGTAGATACATTCTAAGCACTATATATATTTGCTTTATTATAATTAGATATGTGGGCACTGAAAAGCACAAACATAAAACTTTTAGCATGACCTTATTTTACCTGTGTAATATTCAGTCCTCCCTGATGTTACAATATTTGCAATCTCATTCAGCATTTTTTAAAAAAATGAAACTTAAATTTAGTCTGCTGTTAAAAAGTTTTTTTATTGAAACTATTGAACTATGCACAGTAAATTTCAATTCTACTTCAATTATGAGCTAGAACTACAAAACTTTGGGCTCTACTGTGGAATCATTTTACACTGACCTTTCAGCAATCAGGAGCAGCAAGCTGATTCCAAGGGTTACTGCTGTCAGCTGACATACAAAAACACAAAGTCCTATTCCATAAAAGACACAGAAGACAGGCACAAGAGCTAACAGAGCTGCAAGGCTGTGAGTTTCTATTGGCTACAGTGTTTTTGGTTCTCTAGCAATACTAATGACTATTGGAGTTAGTGGAAAGGAAGGGTTGACTGGGTTAGCAAAGGGGCTAAGATACACATGGCAGGGCATACCAACCTTTTTTAAGACTGCAGTAAACACGACCTAAATCCCAATTAAATCTAGGGAGAGAAAAGTGTACAAAACATCCCCAATTTGGCCCCTCTTTAAGGGGTAATCCAACTTCGGATAGTGCTAATGACGTATTGTTTTTGGGGATAGCATCAACAAGAAAAACTGAGCGAGCACCCAAAAAAGATAAGCTTCCATTGCCATTGTTAAGTATATTCGCCTGAAAACAGCTTCCAAAGTTAAACAGTAACTCCCAAACCCCCAGACCTCTCTGAGATGGACGTATGTCGGTAGACATATATAATTCCAATTCTTGAGTCCATATTAAGCAACTATACCAATTACTCCCAGAGCACAGTGCTTTCTTTTAGCAGAAGGCATCACTGATCCATTTGCTAGCAGTCAGCAGCCATTCAGTCCAATAGTTAAAGCATGTTTTCATGTTTTTATCAAAGTTAAATATGATATATCCACTAACATTTTGGCTTTGTTCATTTGTCCACTTGTTACAATAAGGTAGAATCGAGAAGTGTGTCAAACACAAACCAAGTAATCCACTCTGCCAAACACTACTTCAGATGTATATAATCCCTTGATGAGGAGATAATGAGCTCTAATCCATTATATGGGGGGAAAAAAACTCCAAATGTTCAAAAGTCTAATCGTTTAAGTTTAGCCCATAAATATCCACACGATCCAATGTGGGAGAAAAAATAGTACAGATTTGTAGACCCTTGGCAACTGTATCAGTTACGTCCTCAGTCTTCAGTATTCCTCTGCACGTATTCCTGTTGGAAATTGTTGGCTGTAATATCCTTCCAGGAAAATGTACTGTACCTTCATAGAAATCTTTCATATCCAAATAATGGGTAGTAATACTGTACATTTAAACAGAAGCCAAATGCAACACTGTAGAAAGTCCTCAGTGCCCCTCAGCGTCATTTCAAATAGTCGGTCTGGTAATTCCATAGTATTCCCTGGGATAGTTGCACCATATTATAGCCACTTGGTCGAGGGGATACATCCAGAGGGAACTGCTTGCAATCCAGGGAAAAAAGGGAACCTTATTACGAGAGATAACTCCACATACTGGTATTAACTGATAGAAACCTTCCATCAAACTAACCAGCTTATCCCAGGAGTAGTCATCCAGCCAGCTGCAGGATAGATCCACTGCGAATAGGCCAGAGCTGCTACTGGTTTCACTTCTCTTCCACATCCAATACGGCACGAATGTATAGATTTTCTCAATAAATCCGTCTGGGGACCCTATAACATGAGTTGCTGTTTCTCACCACACTATTTACCAAAACCCTGCCTACGTCCTCCCGACGTGAAAGGTGCTATATAAATGCAATTTGTTGTTGTTGTTGTAGAGAAATCTTGGAACTTACCCATCAAGTCTCCGTTCATAACGTCCTTCCCGTCCATGTAGTGATGGTGGTGGTCCATATGTTGGCCCCCCACCACCTCCCCTGAACCCTGAAACCTCTCTAGTACGAGTTCCTATGGGAACGGTATCATCTAATCCCCGAGCAGCACTGGGAATAGTGGCAGGCTCATTGTAATCCGTCCGTAGATCTCTGTCGCCCATTTTGTTGACAGAATTGTGTGCTTTCTGTGCACTTTTGATGTCCACAAAATCCACAAAGGCTGCCACTCCACCCTCTGAGCCCCTTTTGGGAAGAATTTTGACACTTTCCACACGGCCATATCTGGAAGGGGAAAAAAAGAAAAAAATATTTAGCTCAACGATTCAAATAATTTATATTTATTCATCCAGCACTAAAACTCTATCTAGATACACAGCATTAAACTATTACAACAACAACAAAATTACATTTGTAAAGTTCCAGAGAGTGGGGGCAGAGTGGTGGAAGGTCCACCCGCCAATAGTGGGCATTATGCTTTGTCTAGAAACTGAAATGTTATTTACATTAGTTGGACTAAATTATTCTGTGAATCAGGTGGTCAATGTTGAAAGATACAGTACAAGAATGTGGACAAGCCAATAAAAGATTCTTGCACTGAACAGGCACTGAGGTTAAAAGTTTAATTTTTAAAAAAAATCTAGAACGTAAATTTAAAATGTATTGCCAGTCAAATAAGATTTCCATTTTAATAATTGTTCTTTAATCCATAGCCCATCGATACAACGCATTCTGTATTAAACACCACATTCATACTTGTGGGTACTACACGGTGAGCACCTCCATTTCTCCACATATAACAATTGTAGTATCAATGTAGAAATCACCAAATTCAAATCAACATATTTAAATCAGCTTCATGCTGTAGGGGAAATAATTATCTCAGTGTAAACATTTTCATCATCTCTTATAACTACCCTGGACATAAATGGACATTCTCATGCAATCATCAATAGTGCTTAAAATCTGTTATTTACACTGTATTAATTCTCCAAAAGAGAGAAGAAAATAAAATTTTCATTTACTAATTCTTTACCTACTTATTCCAGGAGTTTGGTATCCCTTTATCCATTGTGCATATTAAACCAAATAATCTCTTTGAAACGGCCACTCTCATTAAGTGTCTTTGTCTGAGATTTATTTCAAAACTTTAAATTTTTTTAAAAATATTTTCCTAGCAACTAAATAGGAGGATTGCTATAGATTCACATATGTTCAACCCGATCTTACTAGACACAAAACTAGCACAAAACAATCATATTTTGGAAATAAGGATATCTCATATGACATGCAGAAGCATTCACACTGGTGCAATGGTGTGCTTTTCAGAGGTTGGGATTAAGCTACATTACTGTAGCAGATCTTTGCCTGAATTTGACCCATACAACCTGACTTGGAATACCAATGGTTATCAGATTGATCCTGGGCATAAGGGTTTACTGTATCTTTGGAAAAAATTGTAAATATTTCATATCAGCAGGGTATATTAATGTATATTAATCTGCACAGATCTGACACTGTGATTTTAAAATGGGTGAACACCTAATTTACAACTAATTCACATTGTTGCACTACAAAAAGATGACTGGGCAGATTCCTGCCAATGGAACAGATTTCTTCCAAGTCAAGAGCTTTTATTATCTGAAATCTTTATACTGTATTCAAGTCAGATAAGGAATTCTATAGAGTAAACCCTTCCGATTGCAATTTATTCCACGTACCACTGTATAAAAGCACAAATCTGCACCTGACTATGATGTACCCCTATGAAAAACAGGTTACCCAGTATGAAGATTTGGACAGCATGAAATTAGACAATCAAAATCAAAAACAGCAGCTGGATTCTTGTTTGCACATCGTTCTGGTTGCCTGGAGATATCCAGCAATGTTAAGATGTAGGCTTCTGAAGAACAGGTAATTAGACTGAATACATTCCTAATTAGAATACCTAACCAAACAGTTTAAAAAAAACTAATTTTCCTTCCACAATTTGGTTTTCCAATAAGAGAAACTAATTTCCATCCCTATATTTCAAGTTACGGTGTTACAGCCGCTTTTATGTCTGTACTGCCACATGCCTAGGCATTCTTGTTTTAAAAATAAAGTCCAACGTTTAGTGTGAACTACTCAAAGATTCACAAGTGCTAATCTATAGTACAACACACTATCTTATTGACAAAAGAAAAGGACTTTGAAAGGGCATTTCAAAAAGTGTGCAATCACAGGGAACCACAGCTAACCTTTGCAACTCCACAGAAACATTCCAACCTTACTTTGATTGCAAACTGTTGCTTAATACTGTACTATGCTCTAAGTTTTCAAGACACATTAGGCAAGGATCCAATTTCTAAATAGCACTGAACATTTTACCAGTTCCTATGTAACAAAATTACATAAAATCTGCAGCACTGAAACAAGCCATTAAGCCCAATTAGTCCATGAAAGTGTTTATACTCCAAGAGTGCCATCTATCCTACTCCCTTACCTCCTCTATCCCCTTCTCCCTCATGCATGTGATTTAATCTGGATTTAATAATGCTCACATGTGACATAGCACATTTCACGTCAAGAAGCGCCTCATAGGGCTTCACAAGATTTACTGTAAAGTGTAGTAGCTGTGTATTTTGTGGTTGAAATGTTTATCTTTTTTTGCAAATTAACAATTTGCTTATTCTAAAGCTGTGCAGCCAAGCAGGCAAACTGTAAACAATTTACGGTTGCAAAGCTTTTTTTTTGGGGGGGGGGGGGGGGGTTTAAATCGAGATTGTGAAAACCGCCAGGAACAAGATGTCACGTCTCTTCTACGCAGCGACTGCAGTGTTACGACAATCGGTAATATGCTGTTATTACAACCCCGTCCAAACATGACCGCTCCTCTCTCCTATGCACAGGCTTGTGGATTCTCCTAAAGTCAAGGCCGTTTAAACAAACGATCGGACTTTAAACAAACATTTGAGAGCGGCAGCGAGCGTGTAGAGCTTTCCCTCGGCAACGAGGAGCTGAACTGGATGCACGGACACACCTAGTGGCTGATGTCCAACCTAACCTCTCTCTGGTTGCAGCAGTCTCTCTGCCGACTGGCGGTGCAATGCTGTAAAATGGCGGGACGAGCCCACAGCGATCTGACAAACCCTATAATGGCGGGAGATACGACAAAACTGGCTTTAAATAGCGTTTGCCTAGTAAGGCGATGCTACCGGCAGGACGCACTGTCTCACGCCTCCAAACAATGCAGAACAAAGGGTGACCCCGTTTGAAACACACATCCCCCCCCCCCACCACCCCCTAAAATCGGTACTAAAGCAGAACTGAATTTCCCCTCTCTTGTTCCGTCTGGAGACCGTACTCAGCCGTTTCCTTTTTTTATTTAAAAAAAAATAAATAAATCGCGTTTTTTGAATAATTAAGCCGTGAATTAGTCTCGCTTTGCGGATCCGCTGGGCGTACATTTTCGGAGTGTCAGATGATCTGTCAGCATTGCCGCAGGATTTCAATTTCAATGCGGCACCTCCTTGTTTTTTTCTGGAGTTTTCGGTCCGGCACCAATCAAACCCCTGGTGGGGGGGGGGGGGGGTCTGCCTCTCCTTTCCTGATACACCGCGCGGGCCATGTGCGGCGCCGTACATTGCGGTGATCTCGAAATTAAGATTTAATCCGTTGTGCGGAGGGAGAGGGGAGGGAGGGAGGGAGGGGAGGGGGGTGGGGGTTGACAGCGTTGGCGTGACATTGGGCTTTGGAACCGGTCGCACACATATCAGTGAACTGCTCTTGCGAGAGGGAGGGAGGGAGGGAGAGAGAGAGAGAGGGAGAGCCGTTGCCACACCGACACTTACACAATATAATTGCGGAATCACAAACAACCTCACAGCAGGTTCCCCCCCCACCCCCCACCCCTCCTCCTCCCCACTCGACTGCTGCCACCGCTTATTAAAAAACCAAGTGTGCGCTTGGCTCCGTTCCTTCCTCTCCCGAGCCTAATACCCCATCAATAAATATTCCTCGGGATTTTATTCTACACAGAGATATATATATATATATATACACGCGCGCCCACATTGGAGAGGAGTTCCTGCCTCCTTCGCCCTGACGTATTTCTGGAAATTATTTTAAACCTCACGTCACGTGGCGGAGGTCACGGTGTGCAATAACACAGCCACCGGCAACCAATCTGAACCAGTGCAGCGCAGAGACTCGGTGCGGTGAGAGGGAGGAGGAGGAGGAGGAGGAGCGGCTAATGGCGAGAGAGAGAGAGAGAAAAAAAACATGCAAGAACGATCGAGTGCATTTCTACGGCAACTCAACCCGTTTTTTCCACAAATATTTATATATAGTTTGTGGCACGGGGGAGGGGGGGGGGGTGGGTGGGCGCATTTATTCATAGATGTTCTCCACCATTTTAGAACCTAAGCGTACGTTATACACAAAGATGCAAAACAGCGACTTGTTTGGACCTGACTTTTTTTTTGGATAATAAAAAAAACGTAGAATTGGTCGAGCAGCATCTCCGGGAGGGGGGGGGGGGATAGGTTAATGTCTCGTGGGATCTTTCAGTAGTTCTGTTTGAAGGTGTTATTGGAAACATTAACTTATTTTTCTCCTTCAAGTGCTGTCCTGACCATCTGCTATACATCAGTCAATTTCAGATTTCCAGAAATCATGGGGTTTCTTTTTATCCTTAAGCCAAAACATGAAGGTTTAATAGCCCACAATCACAGTGAACCATGGGATTAAGGTGTCAGCATGGTTCAATTGGTAGCACTCTCGCTTCTGAGTCAGAATATTGCAGGTTCAAGTCTCATCGTTTTGGTCAAAACTGACACTCCAATGCACGGTTCGGGGTGTGCTGCATTGTTTGAAGTGACATCTTTCAAATACTAAACCAGGGCCCCAAATTGTTCATGCCTCGATTCTTCACACAATTGGTATTACCCAAATTAAACCTACGGTATTAGAATTTAGAAGTGTGTCAGATTGCAGAGTAAATATGAGTTATCTCTGAGGTTTAAAGGAATGCATGGCCTTACTGCAAAACGGAAGGAGTGGGCAGGGTAGTAGGACCACAAGAGATCAAGAGGTGGAGCGCAGAACTTCATTTCCCACGATTCAATGCGATTCCAATACTTGTCAGTAAGTCTGCATGCGGAGAAGGGTCGAAATATTGAAGCGCGGGAAACGTCGTCTTCATCCATCACCGCCTGTGCATTCACCAGCTTCACTGACGAAGTACTGCATGCATACCTATCGGCTGCATTGAATTATGCAAGCATAATTACGCAGATTATTGA